GAATCCTCGAGCTCGAAAATTCTAACCTTTGGATCTGACTCGATTCGATCTTATAATCAGGTAGTAAATAGAATAAAGAATAAATAAAGAAAATAGATATATCAACAAAATAATCTATCCTACAGAGTAATAGATAGATAGATAGATAGATAAATATGAAAGCTTCATCACATCCATCAATCAATCAATCGAGCTCCAAGTATTTTACCACCTCATAGCTAGGTAGGTACTCGTAGCTATGACATTATGACATAATTCTTCTCTCCCCGCGGAACTAAACCTAATTGAGGTGTGAGTACGTGAATCCATGAATATACCTGTAACTACCTATAAAACCCCATATTATATATATATACATATATATACATATATGTATATATTTCGAACAGTACAATAAGAAGAAATGAAATCAGGAATCGCGAATACCTATCTAGTATATCCATTCAGATAAGATATCTATATCGAGGAATATTCACCACTAACTCTTATATGATCTATCTATCTACTCACTCGCCCACACTCATATCTACCACATCACATCTCATCTCATCTGATCTGATCTCTCACACACCAAAACAACCCAATATCTCAATATGAACTATCAATCAATCAATCGAACAATCAATCAATCAATCAATCAATCAATCAGACCACCTTCCATATGCTCAAATGGGATAAAAAGAATACAATTCAAGATAATAAACTCAACTCACAATGGTATAACATACAAATTCCACATTTCATCTACCTATTCCCTCTATTTCCTCTCTTCATCCTCCTCTCTGCTGGATGACCACTATCAAATTCCAACATATACCGTATCTTCACTTCACTCATTCATTAAACGTCACAGCACACCCGTCACATCATTTCATATCAGACAGACCAATACCCAAAAAGATATACTCGAGTATGCAGGAATCACTTTCTATTCTCTCTTTGCTTTCTTTCCCTTCTCGCTTCGCATCATTCAACTGACTACCCAGGGACATACATACATATATACATACATACATACGCAGTACAGCACAGTGCAGTGCAGTTCCTCGATGAATGAAATCTTCTTTGTTGAAACTTTCATCCCCGCGCTCTCCTCTCCACAACCATATCTATCATCTAGACGTATCCATCCAGAATCCATACCATCTCATCTCCTCCATTACGTCGCTGATAGAAATAGAGTACAATAATAATGCATACTAGGTATCTCTTTTCCATACCCTCCATCACCAACCAAGTCATCCTTTTACCTATTCATCCCCGTCCATCCATCAATCCATCCCTCATGTATTAGTAACAAAGTAAGTAGTATTGTAATGTAACTTTCCCCCATTCTCCTTCTTCTCCTTTTTTGTGCATTCGCTTCCTAGACCAAAACCCAACCAACCCCCGAAAAAGAAAAAAGGAAAAACTCGCTTCATCCTCATTGCATAAAGAAGCATGCAAAATGAATGTATTAATTGGTAGTTTAGGTTCCGAAGTGAAAGACCGAGATAAGAAGTGAAGGAGGTAAAATTGAACCGAATGAATTGAATCTTGTTACATAGGATCTTGATGTCCTCCAGTACTCAAAGAAAAAGGGGTTCCAGTTTTTCACCCTAAGCATAATACAAAGCCTCGACGAGATAGATGACTCCGAAGATTAAAAAGGCAATTGCGCCTCCTAATGTTACTACAAAATAATTAGTTTGATTTATTAAAGCGTCATGTAGGGAGCAAAAACTTACCAACTCTCAAGCTGACCTTGCCAGCAATAGCTCTCCCACCAATAACAGCCACACCAGTACAAACTGCATGTCCACTAACTGCTCCTCCAGTAACCCACCAATAATCCTGACCAGCTGCCATAGCAATAGTAGCAATTTGACTTCTATCACCCCATTCTCCAAGGAAAGTCATTACAAATGTTTGAACCCATGCTGGACTAAGTAATAATGAAAGAAGATTATTCAAGCCTCCTGCGGCACTTTTCAATGTTGATCTCTTAGGAGAAGGGGATCGATCTGAAGATGTCGAAGGACTTCTCGGTGGAGAAGGAAGACGTGATCCTGATCTAGATTTTCTTGTGCTTGCTCTTTGTCCTCCTCCAAGACCCATCTCCAAAGCATATGGAGAAACCGATGAACGTCTTCTTCCTTGTTGTTTTGCAAGATGTTCTTTTTCTTCGAGTTCCATTTCGACTTCTTTCATTTCTTCAGTTACACCCTCATCTGGACTCATGGCTAAACCTTCTTTCAATAAACGTCCTCCGAAAATCAAGAATAGTCCTGCAGCTAAGAAATTGGTGAACCGTTTTGGAATTAAGGTAGGTACTGCATGACCTAATACAGCGGACAGGATTGTCATAGCAATCAATGCGGAAAAGGCGGCGGAAAACACGAGGAGTCTATCATGCTTCATTGCCATCAATGCTGCGATTAGAAATGTTTTATCTCCGATTTCAGAGAATAAAATCATCGTAAGTGAGAGAAGATATGAATGTAAAGGTTGAATAAGACCGTCATTGCCCTCTCCTTCTAATTCAAGCTTTGGAATACCCTTTGAATCGGATTTCGTAACATCTAAATGGTCCTTGTTGGCAGAATTAGGAATTGGATGGGGATCGTTGTGTGTTTTATCTGGAAGATCTGTAGGTTTATCCAATCCAAAGTTATCCGTACTACCAGTCTCCTTATCGTCAGCGGAACCCTTTTTAATCGTCGAGTCTTTCTTCTGCGGATCTTTGGTGTCGCCTTGAATTTTTTGTTCGGTATCGTGAGGTAGAGGTGGTGCTTCTTTAGGTGATGCGGGTTTCTTTTCAACCTTCTCTCCCGTTTGACTTTCTTGACCCTTTCGTGTTTTATCTTTCTCACTCACACCTCCCTCAGTACCAGTTGTGCCATGTTTAGGTGCTTCTCTACCTGGGTCGTTCATAACTCCATCGTTGCTTTGTGGGATTTCTTTGCCATGGGCATCAAGCATTGGCTTCTCTTTGGTTGTTTTGGCTGTAGGTGGGACCAATTCTCCATCACTAAGCTTAGAATTGGCAGTTTTGGAATCTTTTGAATCCTTCGTATCTGCCTTTTCACTTGTTGTAGAGTCCTTCTTGGGGTCCTTTTTGGTGGTGTCTACAAATGGCCCAGCGTGTGGTTTTCCATCTTTACCATCAACGGGCGCATCTTTCGTACCAAGTCCGTACGATGGTTTATTATCGACAGTAGTTGTAACCGCTGCTGATGGATCAATCTTGTCTAATTTTCCTGTTTGCGCATCGGTATCTTTCGAAACGGCAGCTATGTTATCTTGTGCTGCAGGAGATAGAGCTAGAGCCAATGATGGCAATAACAGTAAAAGCAATGGGGATTGCTTTCTCCGGAATCTCATCTTGAATTATATCTTTAGATTGAAGTTGGCAGATGTAATGAGAAGGTCGTTGAGATGTAGAAGAGGTGTAATCAGGGGATAGTAATCGTTAGATGTGAGGATGCGTAAGGCGTCAATGGGGGAATTGTAGGAGGAAGAGAACCAATGACGTGTCTAGTAGGTTTTAAATGTAAGTTCGATAGTTAATGATTCTCATGAAATTGAATAAACCGTACCTTGAATTGAGTTTTCAAAGAAGGGTCTGGTATGAAATAAAAAGGCGTATTGAGAAGAAGAAAAAAGGGTTTCAAATAGTCGTAGTAGTAGAATTCATACGATGGGATGGATGTGTGAAGGTAATACGGCAATACGATAATATTTGTTCAGAGCACCGAAAGAGGAAACCTCAAGGAAAAGGGATCCGTGTTTTCCTTGTGGCTGATGCTTTTGTAGTCAGCTTGAATGATGATTGGTTCAATTGATTGATATTGGGAGCAATATTTATTAATAGATATCGTTTTCTAACATTTGAGCGGCTTTGGGAAGTGCAAGTCCAAGGGGTACGTTTTGGGTGGCTTCGGGGGATTCTTCTGGACCCATAAAGGCTCAAGGTTCATCTAACATCTGCACTCTAACACCTGCACTGGACGGGGCAGTTCTAGATAGGAGAGAATATGAGGCGTCAAAGGCGTTGAGTTGAGGCGTTGCTAAGGGAGATCTAAGAAACCGGTGAACCCCTGAACCATACGCGAATTGAAGAGCATAGTCGAGTGTGTTACATGTCATTATTTGTAATATAAACAAGAAATGCTCAGGTCGATTGACAATACAAATAAAGCCAACACTACAAGTACAATATCTAGATAAGTTGAAGCTTCTCAGGAGAAGATGCCCAGATATTTATCCAGTTAGTCCCCCCCTGATCCAAGGTCCTAATCAAGAAGTCAATGATTGACATTGAAGAGGTAAGGGTAAGAACTCTATTTACATACTACACACATTGGTTCGTCTAGACCATTCTTTGGAAGCACGAATGCAGGTAGATGTACGTAGAATTGGAGAGTTGAATTGACTGCATCAAGTAATGGAAAAGGTTTCTATATTCGTAGAGGATGTGCTATCCAGATACCTTACTCTCGCGCATGTATCTGACCTGATAGGAATTAACGAAGCAATATGCTTCAGAGAACTTGAATTGACACGATACATACCTAGACACCTATTATTCCTTGGAAACTTGCTTTGGTATGCTTTCTATTCTCATTCTTTCCATATTGAAAGTGGTTTACCTGAGAACTATCTGTTAGATTCTTATTCCTACCTAGCACCTCATGTACACTTTTACACTTTACACTTTACACTTTCAACATTGCTTTTGAACTGCTCACGACAACAAGGCTAGAGGAATATCTAACACGTGATCACGCGACCTCATAGCCTCAATTTTCAGGTCTAACGTCGTTCCCCCACTTCCTACTGCAACCTTCACCCCCAGCAACACAACACAAAACGCGTCAATTCATCCACACAACAATACCAACTCCACACATCTACACTAACAAACACCATCGCGACATTTACGACAAGACATAAATCCTATTGCGCCAAACTCCTTTGAGTACGACTATTCCTCTGATCGTCGCATCAGGATATTCGAGATGGCTCGAACATCTGCGCGGTCGGTGTCGCGAGACCTCCCATCTTCACCACCAACCAAACCCGCAAGTCCAGTTCGAAGAACCACGCGATCCACTCGTAGCCAAAGTATAGATTTGGATGCTCGTAGACCTCGCCAAGAAAGTGTTGAGAATACGGGTGTTGGAAATGAGCAACAAAATTCTAGGGGTGGTCGCAGAACTGCTCGCAAAGAAGCACCCAGTCGCAGAGGTTAGCATCCTTAACATTGTGTTTTTCAATTATTGCTTACAAAATATAGAATTGTCTATAGTTGCAGAAGATAGAGAAGCATTATCTGAGGAAGAAGATGCCGAACAAGCCAAGGTGAACGAGGATCCTGAAGCTGGTGAACAAGCCGATGATGAGGAAGATCCTGAAGCTGGTAAACAGGCCGATGAGGAGGAGGAGGAGGAGGAGGAGGATCCTGAAGCCACCAAGGTGGCAGACCAAGAGGAGGAAGATCTTGACACAACCAAGGTCGCAAGTGGTCAGGAATACGATTCAGGGAACGAAGACCGCAGCGACTTCTCAGACGATACGCGTACAACATCACACACAAAACGGGTAATGCAAATCATCAATTCCAGATCGGCTATTGAGACTCTTCCGGACCTTTACAATACGGCTCAAAACATTATCAGCAAATCTACTAAAAAAGATATTCGCCAAAAGGAAATGGCTCGTCATCTTAAAGCTTTGGAAACACTTTCTAATGGACTTGAGGTTTACAAAGAGCCATATGGAAGAGAACAGTTTATTGAAGTTGACATCGTTTTAGAAAAGGTCTCTGGGTCATTAAATGCTACAAGTTTTGGCTCAGGTGGTCTCGGTGATTGGGCCACCCCTTTTGCTGCAATTCTTCAATCAGCGAATCTTGCAACTCTTCTAGGCCAAGTTATTCAACTACGTGAGGATAATGAAGTTTCACAAGAAGAGTTAATGTTATTTCTGCAATCTTTAGAGAAAATGTTTCCTCGCCCATTTGTGTCTAAGTTTGCCGCGCCTACAGATCTCGGATCAGAAAGTAGTAGATTGATCAACGAAACTCACGCTATCATGTTAGAAATACGAACTCAGCTTTTTGAACTTGCTGCCCGTCAGTTAGAACCTGGTCCGAATTACAATCCTAATGAACTCCTGACTTCTTGCTTTGAGGGTGGTTTTAAGAAAAACGACATCAAAACTGGCGAGAGGGTGGACATCATCCGCAGTATGTTCTTGCCTCCAGGCCAAGCAAAGAATTCGGGTAGATATGTCGACTTTGATCGTCTGAATAAATCATTTCCAAGATCTGAATTCTACAATGACCTTGTCGATTATGGCGAAAAGCGCTGGGATGAGCTGGAGATGATCGTTGAAAACCGAGGTGGTATTAAGAATGTGATGGTGCCATTTGACGAAGTCGTTAAAGATATTCAATCAGATGCAGAAGAAGAAATCGTGAAAAGTGGTCAACTCGACTCCGAACCCGAGATTCGTGCAGACTACGAGCCGGAAGTATTAGAACGTGACGATAGTACAGTCTCGGATAGGGGCCCCCAGGCGTCTGCACCAAAAACAAGAAAAGAGTAAGAATTTGTTCATCGTTTATACAACACTTATCGTTGCATTGCAACAGTTCAAAGAAACAAACTCCCGCTAACAATTTCTTAGCTTTCATGACAACCCAAGTGCTATAACGAAACTTGTCGGTCTCAGAAAGATGGCGGGAAGTCGGAAAAGTGGTGGTATAGAAGTCAGTTCTAACATTCCAGCTTCGTCACAACTAGAACAGCAGGAAGAGGATTCCAGAATTACACAATATTTCAAGAAATACAGCGATTCCCAGAATAAAGAAAATAAAAGTCCTGAACAACCCCTGGGATCTCGAGGTCGTCCATTGATAACGGCTACTACAAAGCGTAGTGGGATGTATAGGAAACACCCGAATGCCCAAAAAGTGGGTTGGAACGAGGACAGCCAAGGGTTTCCCATAGATTCTCAGGCGGATGATCCGGGACCATCTCAGCCAAGAATTAACAAGCGCAAAGGCCCTCCTCCAGTCCTTCAAGCAGATGATGAAGTACCTCAACTATCCCAACCAAAAAACAACAAGCGCAAAGCCGGCGATGCAAATATTTCGTCGGATGATAAAGACCATAACTCGGATGACGACTTTGAAACCGACAAAAGAAAAACGAAACCCGGGCGTAGAATTGTTGCACCTAAACCTTCAGCCCGGCCCAGCAAACGAGCACGTACCGAGGAAGGTGAAACTTCTCGAGCACAAGATTTGCCTAGTAGAAAAGCTTCTAGAGAAGCCTCCGCATCACCCGAAGTTCAGTCAGATGACGACAATCCTAGCGAAGATCAGGGCTTTGAAGCCGATCAAAACGTACCTAAACCCAAGCCCCAACGTAGCAAACGAGCGCGTACCGAAGTTGATGGAAGCTCTCGAGCACTGATGCCACCTCGTAAACACAGATCTCCATCACCAATCTTAGCCCCTGAGAATGATGATGACGAACAAAATCAAGAAGACCTAGAACAAGAAACCCAACGCAGGGAAGAGCTATCTCGATCAGCTCAAGTTCCAGACGATGATGAAGGCAGTGTGCAATTACCTCCGGATGATCCTCCAGGCACTGTCGCACATTCATTTACCCAAGCCAGCGCTCATTCAAATGTAAGAGCACAAGCGATTAAGAATGGTTATAGTGTATCACAAACTCGTACGCCTTGGTCTGATGAAGATACACAACTTCTTATTGACTACATTGGTGATCTCGGTCCGTGGTGGTCAGAGATTGAAAAACGTGGTGAATTTGAACGTGATAATATTACTCAGGTCGGTTTGAAGGATAAGGCGAGAAATATCAAGGTCGATATGTTACTGTAAGTGGATTAACCCTGACCCTAAACTTAACCCTAACCCTTGTTTTCGATGCGCTGCCAATCTCAGAGATACTAACATTGAAATCAATACAGAGCTGGCCAAACACTCCCACGAAATTTTACAGGGGTCAAACTCAATGCAAATTTAATTAAGAGGGTGAAGAGAACTTGGCCTGATTATGATCCTTATACCGACACGGGGTATGGAACATTCTGAATATAATCATCGATTACTTATACTTATCATATAATTAAACGCATTTGCTTCCAATGGCAGTGGAGTCGACGAGTATTTGAAGTCGAACAAACACGACTCAGTGGAAAGAGACATCCTTTGTATCTTCCAATCCGCAGTGCAATTATATGAGATGGGATAAATAAGCCTTTGGATGGATATATGTGTACTTAGCAGTGGTTGATGTGTTTATAAGGCGAGTTGAATTAGTTGGGTTGGCTGTATTTATGGCGTCTCTGTGGGTGGATAGGCGTATTGGGATTGGAGTTTGAATACCTACCTATGATATGATATGATTTGTTATGGGTATGAATTTGATTTTGGTTCGTTTGTGGGCAGAAGACTATGTTTCTTGAGGAGTTTCAGGATGGGAAATTTTGTCGACTCGGATGAGTTGGATGGGATGGGATGAGATGAGCGGAGAGCACATTCTCTTTTGATACTTTGGTAGTGATAATTTAATACGTTTCTCATGTATGATTATATACCTAGTAGGCGCTTGCTTGTTGAGTGGGATATTGTGATTTGTGATTTTGAGGGTATGTTGTTTGATGTGATTGATACTATATGATATTATATATGTGTCGAAAAGTATCTAGATAGATTTGGAAAGTAGGATGTTTTAGAGGAGGTAGGTATTATATCTTATTTCATCTCTCTCATTTCATCTCCTCCCTTAGAGTATTATACTCAGACTCAGACTCAGAGTAAAAGAGAAAGAGAAAGAGAAAGAGAAAGAGAAAGAGAAAAGAGAAAGAGAAAGAGAAAGAGAAAGAGAAAGAGAAAGAGAAAGAGAAAGAGAAAGAGAAAGAGAAAGAGAAAGAGAAAGAGAAAGAGAAAGAGAAAGAGAAAGAGAAAGAGAAAGAGAAAGAAAGAGAAAGAGAAAGAGAAAGAGAAAGAGAAAGAGAAAGAGAAAGAGAAAGAGAAAGAGAAAGAGAAAGAGAAAGAGAAAGAGAAAGAGAAAGAGAAAGAGAGAGAGAAGAAGAAATCGAAATTTCATCCTCCAGTATTGCTATATCATATCCATCATATCCATCATATCTAGTATCTATCTAGATACCTAGTTAGCTATCTATGCAACTATCTCTCTGAATACCTATCAGCTATCGAGTATACATTTCTCGTTATCTTACTTTGATTAACTTATCATAATACTGATAGACGGTATCAAGATAGGTAACGGTAGATAGATAGTGCTAAATAAGATGATAAGATGGTATCTTCAGAGTCGAATACCAGGTATTGATTGGACATGAATCATAGGTTTATGAGTATTCTCTGCTCTGAGAGAGGAAAAGGAAAGAAAGAAAAGGTAGAGCGCGGATTTTGAGTTATCTGTTTTGTATTACTGTGTTTGATATACCTAGGTGGGATTCACCTCATATCCACCCTCATTCTTATCCAATTCCCAGTATCCCGATATCCCAATCCTTTCTAAATCAGACGTGATCATATGTTCGATTCCTATTTCTCTTCCCTTCTCAATTTCCAGTTTCCATTTCCAATTACTCAATAGCGAACGACCTGCTGAATTCAATCAACCGCCCACGAAATAACTCCCATCTCCTCACTACCCCTCCCTCTACTTCAATCTCCCAAACTCCGAATCTACACTAGATCCCAAAACACCCTCCATCTTCGCCTCCCCCCATCCAGTTTCAAATCCCACCGTCCCATCACCCCTAACAACCTTTCCTCTATCCCATTCCCTTCCCTCTCCCTTCCCTTTCCACTTCACATCTTCTTCCCTCTTCTCACCTCCTCTCTCCCATTTCTTAACTTCCTCTTCCGAAAACCCCGCATCGCGTAATCGATTTGCCCCCTGCATTTTCCATTTCTGTCGATCGCGTAGAGCTTCTAATGCTTGATCCCAATCTTCTCCTTCCCCTCCTGCTGTGTCAAGATTATCTTCAAGTTGTACATCACTCTTCGGATCATAATCTGCATGGAATCGAGAATCCATTGATGTAGAACCGAGGGATACAGCGCCACGACCACGGATTCGAAGAGGTTGTTTTTCGTGGGCGGGACGAGGTCCAATGATTGAGTCGAGGGGGTCGGAATCGGATGAATCTGCGTCTGGAGATGGATGTCGCTTGGGATGGGATGAGGAATGTTTATGTGATCTCGAGGAGGATTTTCTTTCATCCTCTGAGGGTGGTGAAAAGGAGCGTTTTCGCGAGCGACGGGGTGATCGATCTCGGTCCCGGTAAGTTGATTCTTTACTTCGATGTTCTCGAGGTGAACCTGATCTGTCTCTCTCTCTGTATCTTTTTCTCTCGTCCCTTCTGCGCTCTCGATCTTCGGAAGTACTTCTTCGTCTGTGTTCTCTTCGTTGAGATTGATCATCTTCTTCCGAGTCGTCGTCTTGATGTTTTCTCCGCCTGTCTTTAGATCTTCGTTTATCCCTATGTATTTCCTCATCCGCACCTCGTTCTTCACCACGTCTCGATTCCCTCCTTCTATGACTTATCAATTCCGCAGAAATATCGATGTCTTTCCTATTCCTTCTGCGATCACCATCTTCCTCATCCCCCACTTTCCTAATCTTTGCACTTTCTCCTGTGCGCGAGGAATCTTCCCTCTTCCCACTCCCCCGCCCTGCATCCTCTCCTTCCCGTTTTCTCTTTACTGGCCCTCCTAGAATCGCTTTAATATCCCCCAATTGTCTCTTCCTAATATCGGTCGGCGCAACCTTTCTCTGTCTTGCCCCACCCGATAAACTCTCCAATCTAGCTCTTGCCTCCGCAGCTTCTTTGGCTAATAATGCGCTATTATGATTATCCGTATCTCTGATAATGTTTCGCAAAAAACGAGTGTTGGGCTTGGGTTTATTGGGAGGTGGTTTGGATGAGGGGGCGTAAGCTGAGAGACCCATGGATGAATATTTTATAGAACTGGATTTTGCATCGGCGGCAAGAAGTGAGGCGACATAATCGTCTGTTAGGTAGGTATCGTTTGCCATGTTGTGGTAGATTGTGCGATGATATGGTGTCAGGCTGAAGTTGTAAGATTGATGGTGATAATGGAGGATGGGGATGGTAGGTATTATCGTGATTCTTATGATATTTATCAAAAGTGATGTTGCAGATATAAGACACCTAGGTTACCGAAGCAAAATAATGAGTCAAAGAAAAAATGAATTGAGATATCTTGAAACGAATAGAATGTGAAGAAGAAGTATGTACAGTTGATCTTGAAGTTGGAGCCTTGTGGTTGCTATCGTATTTTCTAAGATATGATATCTTGACACCTTGATCGGCTAATTAAGAACATTTGTTAGTGGATGATACAAAAACAAAAGAATATATCCGAGAAAGGGTGTGGATTTATATCATATTGTCACCGCATGGCAGAATAATTCAAAGTAAACAATGCGATGCGACAGACACCCCTCCGATTCAAAATCTCCAAAAGAAACAAAATCAGCAACTGCAGAAACATCAATCTACAAAGGTAGATTTCTACATCATTCTACGAGTCTTTGGTATTCTTCCAAAACTGTCTCGACTCAACGACTCTTAAAATCCACCAAACAACAATTCTCCTTCTCACACCATGGCGCATTCACCTCAAAGCACCCTCACCACTCTCCACAAACTCCAAAAATCCCACGAATTAAGTATCATCAAACTTTCCGAACCAGTTTCCGCCCCCTTAAAATCTGGCTCTCGTACATCCAATGCCTCTGCCGCAGATACTCTTGAGAGTCCTTCCCCTGCGAGTTTAGAAGCCGATTTGGCCCATTACAAGGTATATTCTTCTGGCTTTCTCTTCTTTGTTTATATTTGAAGAATCTCGAGCGTAGCGAGCTATGGGGGTCTGGGGGTTTGCCCCCATCAATCATTAGATTTTAATGGCGCGCTCTATTGGCTATCTGGGAGCTTTAGAATTGGTAGACGAGGGATATGGAGGCAGATGTTTGGACTATTATACATTGATAAACAAATGACGCTCCGCTGGCCCTCCGGGGGCCACTGCCGTGGAGGCAGAATAATTGAAGATGCGATTGCAGCACAGAACAGAAAAGCTGTCTGTTATGGAGACATAATATTAGTCCCAAAACACATACTAACAATTCCCACCAGGAACTTTTCTCCAAACTCCGGTTTTCATATCTCGAACAAGTCACCAAAGAGAAATTCATCCGTGCCATTGTCGGAGATCCTCCTTTAGTAGTCGAACATCAAGAAAATATCGATCTAGAAGCTTCTCTCCTCATTTCCAAAACCTCTCTCAAAGCCCAAAAAGTCGAAGTCGCAGAACTGGTTGAAGAGTTGGAGAAAAGAGGGAGAGAATTGTGTAAGAAATATGAACATATTCAGCTGCAAACGAGACAATTGGAGGAGTTACCGAAGAAGATTGAGGGGCTCGAGGAGAGTATCAGGGTTTTGAAGGAAGAGAATGGATCGAGTGGTGAAGGGCCAGGAAATCCAAATCTTAAATTGGGATTAGATAAAACGAGGGAATTGGTAGAGGAAAGAGAAAAGGAAAGGAGAGAATTGGATAGACAGTTGGAACAACTGCAAGTACTTGTTCCGAGAAAAAATAAAGAGGCGGAGAGGTTAAATGCGGAGTTAATACCGCTGGAAGGAAAGAGGATGACGAGTGTAGCGGCTGCGAAAGAGGCAAAGAGGAGGAAGGAAGAGGGGGCTGGAGGCGCGGGAGATGATTTAGAGGAGAGAGGGAGGTGGTGGAGGGGTGTGGAGGGAGGTTTGAGAGGGATGCTGGGGGTTGGAGAGGGGGAGGAGGCATAGGGTTTGAATTCGCTTATGTTTGAGGAGTCCTTGGGAATTCTGGATATTGGGAAAGGGAAAGGGAAATGGAAATGGAGTTTTAGTGTCAGGAGTTTATGGTTAGCTACTGGGACCAGGACTAGAACTAGGTTCGCTTGATTTCGAGATATTCTTTTGTATATTGATATCCCAGTGAGGCAGTCATTTGAGGAATACGTTAGATTTCTCGTTTGAGAAGTCGAATAT